ACGTTCACATTTCGTAGGCACATTTTTGGATGTTCAACATCCGAAGTTCGGATGTCCAATCCAAAAATATGCCTCCGAAATTCTAGAAGGTTTTTTTCGCAGGCACATTATTTTCGGATGTTAGACATCTGAAAATGTCCAACATCCAAAAATATGACAGCGAACGTTAAAATTTCGGCTATTTTCAAATGTTGAATATTTGAAAAACCCTTCAATTCGGATGTTGAACACCCAAAAAAGGGTAAAGTCATATTTTTTTAAAATTGTGTTATGAAAGATAAAAAATGGACAGACATGTAATAACAGAAACTATTCGGTACATCCGTAATATCGTAAAATATAATGGATATATGTGTAATTTTTCCTTAATATTAATCATTGAAACATATTTATAATTAAAAAATATTTTGAATAAAATATGGTTTTAGATTTATTGAATTTATCCTTATAATGAATAATTTTATACATAATTGTAAAGTTTTTAAATCATGAAATAAATAAATAAGTCGGATACTATTTGTGATAAAATAAGATTATAGGGAGACTAAAAAATTTTAAAAATGAAGGAATTTAACTTCATAATTGAATATTGTATAAACTAATTATAAATTTGATACATTATTTTGAAAATATTTCATCAAGGCATATCCATTTGGCACAAATTAAAATAAAAATAATTCAATATGCAAAAATAAAAGTGATAGAAAATTTAAAATATATAAATAAAAATGAGAGAAAAATTAATATATGGTCTTTCTGATACCAATATCAAATATTGTAGTTCTTTAAGACACAAGGTCTTTCTACTACCTACACCTAATGTAATAGGCAATTAAGACGTACTTCAAAAGCATTGGCCAATACCGAATTTCAAAAGAAAATTCTTTATTCCTTATACTTATGGTATTAATAATCTTTAGCTAATTATGTTGCAAAATATAATTCTTATTAAATATTAATTAAACTAATTTGTTTTTTAATTATTCTGTATATAATATTATATTTCCTAATAAATAATTCTTGTTAAATATTATATTTGTTACTGATAAATTCTATTTATGTTATCAAATATAATTCTTATTCAAATAGTATTAACTATGTCCTTAAGAAAAAGGTCAATTTGAAAATTTTAAAAAAGAAAGAAATAAGAAAAAATAAAACTAGTATTGTGGTGTCTGCAACTTTTTTTTTCCAATTTCGTTATGAATTCCAGAAGTTGCAAAAGAAATAAAAAATATGCAAAAAATGTAAAATAAAATTATTATATAAATTTTTAAATATATTGTTCTTATAAAAAAGAAGATATTTACTATTTATGTAATATGCAATATATAATTAACAATAGATAAAACAATATGTAAAATTACAGATACTACCCAAAAATCAGTTTTCACATTAAATCCATGAATCATGTCAATGGAATCAATATTCAAAAATAAAAATCCTAATATCAAAGTCACATATGCAAATATTATACGAAATAATACAAATACTTAATATATATAGTACTAACTCCGTAATATATGTTTTTTATAATTACCATAAATCATAGCTTATTCGGATAGTTTGAAAAATCCCTAATCAAGGCAAAATGCATACTAAGAAATTTGTAAAGACACCTTTATTATCCGAATTAATATATATATTATCCAAGTTAATGCAAATATTTAATATATAGTACTAATTCAATAATATAATTTTTTTAATTACCTAATAAATAGTAATATTATAATTTTCTTTATGTATTGGAATTTGATTCAATTATTTCTTAAAAAGAGGTGTCTTCACATCCAGTGAAATAAGAACCAAAATGAAACTTTGTAGAGCTCCAATCAAGAAATACAGTTACGGTTTCATGATATCAGAGATTTATCTATAAAATGAAACACATCGAAATAAATGACCGAGAAAAGATAAAAAAATTAGCAATGTTGTAAATATTACCCAAAAATCTATTTTTACAGTAGATTCGTTGAGAACATCTCGAACAACTTGATCTACAAAGGCTCAATCAACAAATTGTGTTAGGGCTTCTGTATGTCACCCAAAGATCTACGAAAACAAATAAAAACAACTCAATTCTACACAATAATAATAACAATAATGATAATAATAACAATAACAATAACAATAACAATAACAATAACAATAACAATAACAATAACAATAACAATAACAATAACAATAACAATAACAATAACAATAACAATAACAACAACAACAACAACAACACCTCAACTCCACTTTGAAACTAATGAGAACATGATGGAAAGGATCGAAAATGTAGGCATAAGTGATGAAGAAATGACCAAACAACAACACCTCAACTCCACTTTGAAACTAATGAGAACATGATGGAAAGGATCGAAAATGTAGGCATAAGTGATGAAGAAATGACCAAAAATGTAGGCAAAAATAATGAAGAAATGTATAGAAATGCAAATAAAACAAAAAATTACTTACTTTGAAAACCCAAAATTCTGTTTTCACAGTAGATCCGTTGAGAACATCTTGAAACAACTTGATCTATATAGCCTCAATCAACACATTATTTTAGGGTTTACATAGATCACTCAAATATCTACAAAAATAACTCCATTTCACATAATATTTTAAACAAATAAACATAAATTCTACATATAAACTAATGAAAACATGATGAAAATGACAGAAATATAAGAAAGAGTAATGAATAAATGCATAGAAATGCAGAGAAGACGGAAGGTTATTTACCTTGTAGATTACTGAAAGATCTACAAAAACAAACAAAAGAACTCAATTCCACATATTGTGGTGGATAAATGTGGTGGGAAAGATTTAAAGAATAAGTTATTAGGAAAGAGAGATAGTGGAGGTACATTAGAATATTAGTGAGGAGAGAAGAGAGAGAAAGTCGCGGGTGAGGTGATATATATATTAGTAGAAATAAAATAGGAGATAAATTTTAAGAAAGTTGATTTATTAAGAGAAAGAGAGGAAGAGAGAGAATGGGATGAGAGAGAAGAGGGGATGGGCAAGAGATGACGTGTGTGTAATGAAAGAGATGTAGGGAGAGATAGAAAAGAGAGTTATTACTATGGTGGGAAAAGTAGCGAACGTATATGAAAGGTGTTGCTCTTGTTTAATATATAATAGATAAATAGATAACATGATGGTTTCTTCAAAGATAAGGCGATTCATTTCCAAATTTCTAACTGTGTAGCTTAGGCTTCTCTATAGAAGTGATCGATTGGAATTTCTTACTGTGTGGCTTAGACTTCTCTATAGAAGTGATCGATTGGAATTTCTAACTGTGTAGCTTAGGCTTCTCTATAGAAGTGATCGATTGGCTTCTTTATCTTGGTGGACGGTTACATTCTTTTTGGGGAAAATTATAGATACCCACTTAGCTCTAGCATGCGACCAGTACATATCATGTTAGTCCAATGCACAATGTGCTAGACTAGCTTCATCTTAAATAATGTGTCGGTCCGATACATATTATGCTGGACTAGCTTTATTACAAAAGATAAAGACGGTCCATCACATACTTTATTTAAAAAATGAAGCTATGCCAGACATGCACCTTCAAATAGAGCCGAGGCTCTAAACAATCAAAGTGAAGTGCACCTTCAAACAGTATCGAAAAATATGGTTTCAATACTGGAAATCATTGTGATAGCCTTAAAAATTTATTTTCATCTTCAATTATAAAATTTAAAACTTAAAAAATAGTGTAGATCGAGCAGATCTATCAAAATTTGAAACTCGTAAAAATTGACAGTCCAAAAATGCGTTACAAGATGCACTATTTTCATAACTTGAAATCCATTTTTTTCTCATGTCCATGCATCTTGATGTCAAGATGATCAATTTGAGGATATTTGGGACTCAAAACAACCTTTTATAATGAAATTTTTGATATGGACTCTAATTTGATTGTTTAGAGCGTCGGCTCTATATAGACTTTTTCCTTGTTTAAAATAAAATCATGTTGGCCACATCGCATAGGACACGTTTGATTTTGTTTTCCTTGATAAAATGTGCATTGTAAGGGGGGATTTTGGCCTAAATACAACTACTATTATTTGGGTGCGGGAGGATGCAAAATACAAAGTTTTTGGAGTTAGTACTATGGGTTACAAAATATTCTCTATTTATTTATTTTTTTTATTTTTTTATTTTTTTATTTTTTATTTTTTATTTTGGCTAAGGGGAGGGGGAGGGGGAGGGGGGTGGAGGGGTTCGAGCAAAATGCCTAAAAAATATAATTTGAAATTATATACTATGAGATCATTTATCTTTGTTACAAGAATGCACTATTATTTTTAGCAATTAAAAATGTTAAATTGGATGACTTGAAATGCATCATAAAGTTCGAAAAACTCTTTTTCACTTTGATGAGATGAGATTCATTGACAATCATCCGATTCCAAACCCGATGAACATCAATTATTATGACCTCTTTATCCTAAAAATAAATGGTATTTTCCATACTTTTCGGTATAATTTTCCCTTATTTTTACAAGATGAATTGAAGTAATTTCAAGCTCACACCGACCTCTCTAAAATTGCGCACGTTTTTTTTGGGTAAATAAAAAATTTGAGCACATTGCATGACGATCCTCCAAATCTTGCGCACACCAAACCCTAACCCTAATCGCATCTCAATGGGATTCACCCACACGACGTTTTTGACTTAGTTCCCCACCAACCCCTTTTTATAACCATTTCTTCACCTATCGGACAAAACCCTAATCATCTTTCGGTCAGGTTTCTAGGGATACCCCACCTTGTGTACCCTGATCTTCGCCACCCCCATGCAAACATCCACCATATATATATATGCACCATCTTCTTAGCACCAACCCCACTATGGAACCAACAAAGACCCTACAAGGATAGTACTGAGCTACCTTAAAGACCCAACAGTTTTCATGGCTCCCAAAAAAATTAGAGCATCTACCCTAATCATCTTCATCCAGTTAGTGCTGGTGTCCTACACTGCTCTTGGTGCATTGATGGGGGATGGCCACTGGGACCTCCTTGTGAGCGACGCCGGCGTGTCGGCCATGCACATGACCACGACGCGGCTTGGCACGGTGGTCATGTTCGATGGCACTTATTTCGGTACCTCGAAGCTTCCTTTGGGCCACAGTCGGTGCCATGATCGTGCCACTGATGTGGCCCTACCTCGTGATTGTTGGGCTCACTCGATCGAGTACGATCCTGCTGCCAATTCTGTTCGGCCGCTCACTATCCTCACCGACACTCTTTGCTCGTCCGGTGCTTTCTTACCAAATGGCACCCTTATCCAAACCGGCGGCTTTCAAGATGGAGAGAAGGGCCTCCGCCTCTTCCATCCATGTCTAGGCTCTGCGTGTGACTGGAATGAGGTTTCTAGCCCTCCCTCACAACTCTCTGAGAAGAGGTGGTACTCCACGAACCAGGTTTTGCCGGATCATAGGGTCATTGTAGTGGGGGGAACCACCGCCTTCACGTACGAGTTTGTCCCCAAGCCTAGTGGCTCTGAGGGGTCCTTTCGCTTGCCCTTTCTTATTGAGACCAACGACCCCATTGTCGAGAACAACCTCTACCCCTTCTTGCACCTCTGCCCTGATGGCTCGCTGTATGTCTTTGCGAACAAGGACTCAATACTGTTTGATTATAACAGAGGTACAGTGATTAGGAAGTTCCCACCCATTCCTGAGGGACCAAGGAATTATCCTTCCTCAGGGGCCTCTGTCATGCTGCCTCTCTCCGCCGCAAATGGCTTTACAAGAATGGAGGTTCTTATTTGCGGGGGAGCGAGGGATGGTGCGGCTAAGGCAGCTCGTGGTGCAAAGGACCTCTGGTTGGCGCTCAACTCATGTGGTAGGATGGAGATCACGTCGCCAAATCCTCATTGGATCGTGGAGAAAATGCCTATCCCTAGAGTCATGGGTGACATGATCTTGCTCCCTGATGGAAATGTGTTAATCATCAATGGAGCTCAAAACGGTGTGGCAGGTTGGGAATTGGGTTCTGATCCATGCCCTTTTCCACTGCTCTATCAACCAGAATCCATAGATAAAGCCAGCCGATTCTTGAAATTGGCTGCAAGCAAGACACTGAGAATGTACCACTCGACCGCGAACCTAATGACTGATGCAAGGGTGTTGATCGGGGGATCGAACCCCCACGAGAAATACACTTTCGAAGGTCCAAACGTGAAGTTTCCCACCGAGCTGAGCTTGGAAGCTTTTAGTCCTCCATATTTAGACCCCTCTAATGCATTTTTGAGGCCCGATATCATGTCGGTTCCAACCGAACCAATCTCTTATGGAGCTTCTTTCACTGTGGAGTTTCGTCTTCCTGGCAAATCAGGCAAGCTTGTGGAGTTCAATTTGTATGCACCATCATTCACAACACACAGTAACTCCATGAACCAGAGGCTGGTGAAGCTGACTTCTTCAGTGCCTGTGGAAGTGGGTGGTGGCTACAAGTCTATAGTGGTTGCTCCACCTCGGCCAGCTATCGCACCACCAGGTTACTATATGCTGTTTGTTGTTAATGGTGGTGTTCCTAGTGTTGCAAGGTGGGTGCGGTTCCTTAATGGATTAGGTTAGTTAGATCGTAGCATATATCAGATAGTTTTTTTTTTTTGCTTTTGTGGTTTTTCTTTGCTTTTCACTCTTGAGATGTTAGTTTTAGTTGTTGCAGGCGACCTAACATGAGATATCAGTGCACTTGTCAAGGTCTTTAAGTATGTCATGGTCTTCTAGTATGGGAATGAAAAATTGACCTTTTATTACGTTCTCTATAGGCACTGCATGCAAGTTGGTGCTCGTGTGCCATCTTAAATGTTTAATTTAGTTATATATTTTCATGTTTTGAATATTACCCTATTGTTACCCTCTAATAACCATCCAAAAACTCCGTACGGAGTACTTTTTCTTTACCATGCTGCCCTCCACGCGCGCACACAAAAAATTGAAAAGAAAGAAAAGAAAATGAGGAGGAAATGCCTCTACCATATTTAATATACTATAAAACTAAAATTAATTGCCTAGTTTTACAATTTTAGTTAAATCAGAGTTTCTAAAGCACTGTCTAAAAAGCCGGAATCGAGGGCGGAGTGGGGCATTAGTCGAGATGAGTCGGCTGATTACTCTTAAATTGGCTAACCGATTCTAGGCAGTTATCCCAAACAATGAAAAAAAATAAAATAATAAAAACAAAGCCAATTACGTACAAGTAGGAATAATACAGAAGTCAAATCGATATAAAATATTACAAGAAAGGTAATTTTTTATTGTTTTTTTAAAATTGCCCCTGTAATTTCTTTTCTTTTTTCAAAAATCAAAATTCGAGTTGACCAAGTGACAGTTTTGAAAAAAATAAAAAAAAAGTGGGTTGACCAACCTTTTTTATAATTTCCACCCGTAAACATAGCATTTTGTATTTTACCTAAAAGTTTAAGGTTTGTACATAAATTACTCTAATTTTTTTCCAAAATACCCCTCGGTCCAAGGATACCATTGCTAGACCGGTTTTAATTTTCCTTTTTTTTTTTTTAGCTTTTTTATGGTGTTCTATGTTTTAGGACAATTGACAACCAATCCAAGGTCCCCATTATCTGACTGCCCAGATTGTGGTTTTATACCACATCATAGGCGGTTGGAGGATGGAGATCTCAGACTGCTCGCTTAGGCGCAATTCAATTAGCAGTTTGATGTCTCCATCCTTGGACCGCCCACACTGTGGTGTTCAACCACATTATGGGCGGTCTATAGATGGAGATCTCTGACTTGTCGCCTACTATCCTAAAACATAGGACACGAAAAAAACTAAAAAGATAAAAAAGAAAAAAAAATTAAAACCAGTCCAGACATGGTATCCTCCAACCGAGAGGCATTTTTAAAAAACTTTAAAAAATCTACTGCAACCGACCTTCCTTGTAATATTTGAGTCAATTCGTCTCTTTTTGTAGTTTCACCTGTTCTTTTTTCTTCTTTTTTTTGTGTGTCCGTCATTGGTTCCATAGTAAAAAAACCAAAGAGAACGGTTGGGTAGAAGTGTCATTTCCGTGAAGTACCCATCGAAGATTAAGAAGATTTGAAGTATAATAGAAAGGTAAGGTAAAAAAAAGGGATAATTGGGTAGCAAAAGTTTTAAAATTGAAAATAAAATATTTTTAAAGCATATTAATTTTGTTGTAAAATTGTTTTAGAAAACAAAATGAGTCATGAACGGCATTTAAAACGGGCTGGGACGGCCCCATTTTCATTTTGGGCTGGACGAGGGGTGACCCCTTTAGCAGGGAAGGTGGCTGAGCCAAGACCTATTGTTAAGGCTTGGGCGGTGTTCCTAAATGTCTGCCAGATTTTGGGTTGGGTTAGGGTAGCCCTAATTCGGCCCGTTGCCATTACAAATATACAAAATAACGCTCTTTGTGACTTACATACCGGCCCAAAACTTGGAAATAGTATAATTTGAACAAATTAAACAATGAGCTAAAATAGTGAAGTTCCTCTGCTTATATAACATGAGTAATTTTTATCCCCATTGTGTGATTGGAAAGGTTTTTATATGTCTCGACACACATAATTTATATGTGTCTTGAGGATCACGAGCTTTTTTATTTTGATCAAATGGTTGAGAGTGGGCCAAAAATAATATAATAGGCTTTTGTCGATGGTATTTATCACGTCATAATTAATGTATACTAATTTTATCAAGTTACTCTTAACCGTTCGATCAAGATCACAAACAATTTCTCCAACCACATAAGTTTTACACTTAAAAGTGCAATGTGCAAGCTTATAGGTTTCAAAAAGTTTAGTAACAACTCCTGAACCCATGTTTCACAGGAAAAAAAAAAGTCAAGTGGCTATGTCAATTACATGTCTGAAGAGTACTAGACAGTTCAAGAGTACCAGACAGTTCAACCTCACTGTTGATTTTAAGAATGGACAGTTGAGAAATTTGTTCTTTCGTCCCAAGCCCATTAAGAATGATGGACTTTGAGCAACCCCTTATCCATCTCTCATTGATAATGTGCAGCTGAGGAACTACTGGAGAAGTGTTTAAAACACAAGTACAGCCTAGTATAGGGACCCTCTTAAATTTGTGGGCGAAAGCGTTCATGGCTAGTTTGGGAGGACCGATTAAGTGGTCATCTGGTTTCTTGTAATGACTTCAGCAGCGAATTGCAGCATTTTGCGGTGATCTGCAATCGTAAGTGGAGTGGACCAACATGTCCAGCGTTAAATAACTAGCAAGTATATTGGAAAATGTCCATTTCCTAGTTTCTGTTTTCACTTCCTCGACATCTCAATCTCAACTATAGGCTTGTCGAAGAGTGCGGTTTCTCCAAAGTGTATGACAATTGAGAGGAAGAACAGCACTCCTTGACTATTCCTTTTTACTGAAGATTTCTTTACGCTCGCTCAACCATTCAATTTCAACAACAGCTGGTTAGAGTGTGCTGCTCCATGGCCCCAAATTCAGTAAAATTCGAGCTCAGGAACAAACTCTTAATCATCCCTTGTCGATATCCAAGGTTCGAAGGCGCTAACACTTACAGCTACTGTAAATATCTCAATGTAGGATGTAGAGAGAGATTGCATGCTATATTATTAATCGCTCTAGGGGAAGTGTATGATGTGCAGTTAGTTTGAAGGATTCAGCGTATTGCAACTCAACGGATGCCTCTTAATATTCATCTTTTCTTCTGTACCAATGTCTCACGCCATATGTCCCCCAATGGACTTTAATACAAGCACAACTATGCTTACCCAAATTAGGGTTTTCATTTTGGCTTCTATTTATGGCGTATCAAGGGATCCTCTATTCTTAGGGACCTTACAAGGTTTCTCGGTTTTCCTAGCATTGATTACTGTTGTCATAGGAAGTGCCAAATTAGGGTTTATTAGTGCTTATATCTTCTGATAATTTTTGGTATATTTAAATTGCATTTATTCTTGTATAATTATTACACAAATGGTTGACAAAGGTTATAAAGGAATAGATGCCTAAAATTTTCTAGAAACCTTGAGGTCTTTTGGTTTAAATAAGGAAAAGTATAGATCATTTATCTTTGATAGAAGGTGGTCACTATTAATCTTGACTATTGGATGTGAAATTGGATGGCTACATTTATTGCATTGACCTAACTCAAAATTCAAAAGAATTTTTCTCAAACTTTATGACACATTCAAGCTACCAAATTTCTCATCGAATGGTTATAAGTAATTGTAACCTCCTTGTATCGTAAATAGTCTTATTGTATACAATCGCTTTAATAGTTTCAATTTTCCTAAAAAGGTCGGGTAAAAAGATAGGTTTTTTTATAGAGTAAGGATCAGCTTGACTATTATAGGCACAAAGCAAAAAAAAACAAAAACAAAAAACAAAACAAAAAAAAATAGAAAAAATAAAAGAAAAGTAAAGCACAATGTATTTAATACTAACTCATACAGAAATATATTATAATATCCCAAATAGCAATACAGGGAACCAGAAAGCCTACCACCTCTCGGCAATCAGGCTTCGGTAACCCAGACACTTAAATCCATAACACTCACTTTTTATTCTTGACATCGCAATAAGGGAGACACATGAACAACTTAGAAAGAGAGAGAGAGAGTAGGATACTCATATATTGCTACTAGAGATAGAGAGAGAGAGGAGTGTTAAAGAGAGGGAGAGAGAAAGAGGCCACAATTTAAGGCACACATACTACTGAGTACCCATATTTAGAGAGAAAAAGACCCTAAAAATCGAGTGACATGCACTCGTGTCACTCAGACTGGATCAACAAGAGAGAGGAACAAGGAGAGACCACTGCCCCTTGGAGAGAGAGAGAACACAGAGAGGCACAAAGAGAGAAAACCTTGAGAAAGAAAGTGACAACTGGGAGAGAGGAAAAGAGAGAGGCAACAGTGGGGGCACACAGGGCCAAATGGAGAGAATGGCGAGAGAGACAACACAGAGAAGCATAAAGAGAGAGACACAACACGGGGAGGCACAAAGGAGAGAGAGAGAAAGGCCATATAGAGAGAGGCAAAAAGCCACAGAGAAGCACAAAGGAGAGAGAGAGAGAGAGAGGGACGGTGCGGAGCACGAGAGACAGAGAGAACATTTTAGAGAGAGGCACAAAGACACAGGCACGACCTCACTTATAGGGCGCATAAGGATCATAACCATTGCCACCAGGAATATGATCCTTATAGTACCCAGAACCACCACCATACATAACCGCACCAGGAGGATAGGCGCTAGGTCCAGCATGCATGACCCCGGCGCCATACACATCCTTCTTGGTAGTGTGCAGAGGCTCACCCCTTATGGACCCTCTATGGTCCCCTTCAACCTCCCTGTACTTCTGCAGATACAGGTTCAGAGGTTCAACATAGTCATCAAAACCCAGCTTATTCATGGCCCATAAAACATCTTCAGCTGTGATGGTCTTCCTCTGCTCTCTTTGGCAGCGATCATTGGCTTCGCTGGTTATGAAAGAGATGTATTCGGAAACACATTCCTGGATTGTCTCTTTCGCGTCATCGGAGATCTTGGCATGGGTGGGGAGCACCTACACAGGGAGAGAATTTTGTGTCAAAACTTAGATTGAGAAGCCCCAAGATATACACAAATGACATGAGACATTGAGAGTGTGCATGAAGATATGCCTGGTAATGGGCCAGGTGGCCTTAGGGCTGGGCAAATATGCCCCAAGGGTTGGGGGCCGGGCCTTTGCCAGGGCCATGCTTGGTTCAATCCAGTCCTGACAAAGCCAAGGCCACTTTAGGACCAAGGGGTCTCTTCAGCCATGACGGGGTTAAATTCAAATAAAAGTTTTTCCCAAAAAAACAATAAAAAAAATATAATTCCTAAAAACTAACCTAAAAATCTTCCCACATCATTAAAAATACATTCAATAAAAAAAAAATTAAAATCTTAATCTGCACCAATATATTGGCGGTAGAGAGAGATTCCTTACGTTTAAGCACATAGGCTGAGAGAGAGAGGGAGATTACCTTGCGCATGATGCGGATGACATTAGCGATGGGCATGAAGCGGTCTTGCTCACGGACGGAGCAGGTATCAGAGCGTTCCGGGGTGGCATGGTCATGGTCGAGGGCGAGGTTCGGGTCGGGGATGAGGGAGCCTACGAGCGAGTAGATTGAAAGAGAGAGAGAGAGATGCAGCAGATCAGCAATACAAGATAGAGAGTGAACAATACGAGATAGAGAGTGGCTGTGATAGATAGAATGATAGAGAAAGGAGAATTATTTAAAAACCATAGAGACTTACTATTAATTATTTCAGTAGCAAGTAGCAACATATCCTAAAGTCTTAAGCAACCACACTTGTAGCATACTAATCGAAGTACTGACTTGCACTAACTTGTAGCATGCAGATTATTGTGTTAACAAGTAACATACTGCACAATACACTACAAGTGGAACAATAAAAAGCAGTGAATAAAAAAAAGTTTACCTCAAGCTAAGCATAAGATAGACAGCATATGCATGACAATTGGAGTAATCTACATAGTCCATTTTTTTTAATCTAGGCATGCTATCTTAGGATGTGTTTCCCGACAGCGTCGGGCACATTCAATATTTGTCGGTGTGCACCGTGCTCCACATATGGCATTTGGCTTAAAATAGGTCTGAATTTATTCGGCTTAAAATAGGTCGGAATTTATTCTAAACCGACAGCAAAATAGTTTGTTTTTCGCACTTGCCGTTTGGATAACGTGTATCCAAACACACAAAAAACACGAACTCGCTTTTTAGATAGATTCGCAATTATATTCGAGTTAAATTTCATAATTGTAGACCATCCAAACAGGCCTTAAGTGCTGCAAGGTCAGCAAAGAACTAAAGACAGCTGCACCATGCAAGCTAGCTTTTTGGTTTGGAATAGCACGCCAAACTTCTTCTAAGCTGTTTGAAGTAGGCATCCTACAGTTGAGGAGTTGCTGGAGTACTGTTTGAACCCAAATTCGAGCATAGTATACAAACCATTTGAATTTGAAATCAGTAGGAGATTGCAGTACCATTTTGTAAGTATGCATAGCAAACTTACTGCATTACAAAAAATGAACAGTAAGCATCTTTAGGGGCTAACTTTTACAATTGAGACCCATCCAAAGAGTTGAGAGATAGGGAATAAAAGTCCCTCACGTTTAGAGTTGAGACATAGAGTAAAGAACTAGATCAATATTGATTGCAGTGCTGTCAAAGGGCAGCAGTTAGCATGTATCCCTATCACCTGTGACTGTTAGATTCCAAAATCCACGGTTGTGGTATCACAAAAAAGGATAATGTCTACAACATGCTTGCAACACCTGCATACAAGGTGTGCAAGTCACCTGAAACATAGGAATTCCAAAACACTGCCTGCACGCCCTTTTAGAGAGGCTGCAAGAGGGTTTGGAAACTAAACAGGAAGTTTTGTAATACTACAGTCTGCTAGGAACAGTACATTTCGCCTCAACCGTCTATTGTGGAAATGGACGGTTTTAGCGAATCCACTAAGCAGGTTGCTCATAACTGAGCAGTGTTAAAAAACACGAACCGGGAACGGAACCCAGCTATGGGCCGGTCCGAGCAACCCGGAACCAGTCCAGGTAACTGGCCCTAACCAAGCATGTCCTAGCCGGGCTAAAAAGGGTTAAAAACATTTAAACAAATATAAACAAATCCCAAAAAATATGACAAGTATGTTTAATAATTAAACTAAATATATCCAAATGAGATTAAAAAAGTAGTGAATAAATAGATTTAGAAAAATCAATTTGTGCCTAGGGTACTTTAGAAATAATCTAAAAAAGAATGAAAAATGAGTATTCATGGCCAAAATACTTCCCAATATTTTTCAAAATAATAGACATTACAAACAAATGTCTTATTTTTTTAATTTTTTATAATATTTTTTGTACTATTTTAAAGTTCCTGACTTGGCCACCCTAACCAGCCATGGCCATTGGCCAGTTTCAAGCAACCCAGCTGGGTCCCAATCGGGGTTTTGCGAACACTAATCAGGAGCTGCAAGCCTTTTTGCAGTTGTTCTAGGCACATTTTTTTATATTTTCTTTTTTCAATACTACACCCCGCTTTGTAAGGTACACTGCACCATGACTATCAATTTTGGAAATTGACGATTATACTAACCGGAAAAGGCGGTCACCTGTAACCGCTTTGTAGTAAATAGGACCTGCACGTATTTTGCGTGTGTTCCAAGAATAGTTTGATATTATTCATTTTCTGATAGTACATTTTTGCTTTCCAATTGCCAATGAAAAGTTATGGTGCAATGTACCTAACCTAGCGGAGTATGTATCGAAAAAGAAAAATATCAAAACCATCCTTGAAGCGCATGAATAAAGCAAGCGCCTCCCTCCTTACGGTTACTCGAAATAAAGAGACTATAAACATCTATTTCTAAATGGGTAGTTACGGTGCAATTTACCTTGCCTAGCATAGCATAGTATTCAAAAAATAAAACATAAATATAATGCCTGCAATGTTGGCAAAATGCAGTCATTCTTAATCACAATGCGGTGACGAGTAATCGGCTTTTCCCGTCACCTTAAAACATCTATTTTGGGAATGAACAACTCTGATACAATGTACGGTACCTAGCGACGCATACTATTAAGGAAATAAAATTTTGAAATTATGCCCAGAATACCTTGCTTGGCATGCTAGATATTTAAATGGTCCAGATTGGAAAATAGTCAAGTAAGCCCACTGGTTTATGAAATAGTATAAGCCCAATGGTCCAGATTAAAGGATTAATAAACAAGCAGCCAGCATTGTATGGAGTACATCTTAATCTTATGGTATATTCCCAGTCATGCTACCGATGTAACCTCGCCATTTCTACTGATATAACCTCATTATTACTGCATATTTGAGACTAAAATAGTCAATTTACAGCTAAATTGACTGAATCAAGCACTCTCTCAGGCTTCTAATTTTCTAGAGCAATTGCATGATTCATCCAGGTGCATGTAGACCTCTAAAATGATAATTTCTTTGTCAAAAGCTGCGGTGCATAGACATCACAGGCAACCATTAACAATAAAGAAAAACACAATGAAAAAGAAGAAGACACAATCGATTTAATCAAAAAAGAAAAAAAGCAAAAAAATCCATTTACATGCACTCCTTCTTTGCATGCAAGAAATAAAAATAAAAACCCTCAATATTGTTATATTTTTCTAAGAAAGAAGTCAATATATAGATAAACATACTTTAACAAAAAAAAATTAGACTTTATTTCTCCGAAAATGGCTTAGGGAGTAGGGTTTTGCATGTAATGAATAAGCAGCCGATTCAAGAAAAAAAAGACTAGAAAAATCATTTTTATAAGAAAAAGAAGAAGCATAGCTTTATAGAGAAGAAGAAATACAGCTACGCATGCATGCCGTCTTGCATACAACAATAAGGCCACCAGTACCTAATAAATCTTTTAAGAGGACGGTTATCTGAGAAAATCATTGGAATTATGGAAGATATAATATAAAATAAGGCCTAATAATTCGTAATCCGAGAAAAGCCAGAGATATACATGTGGATATTCGAATTAAGCATTTTTTAATATTAAGAGACAGAAATAAAACGATTTTAAGGAACAAAAACACGCAGAAATTCAACGTTTCTTAAGAAAAAACAAAATAAAAAATATAAACAACATAAAGCTTTTGTACACAGAGGATCCTTTAAAAGAAACTCATGTAGATAGAGTAGGTAAACATTAAGCACCTGAAAACGTTACCTGAAGAGGAAATAACGGGAACTAACTGAATAAAACGTCAAAATAACAGAAAACCTTAATGATCTCATGATCTCGTTAAAAAAAGAACAGATACAAGGAATAACGTAAACATAAACTTGAGAAAAGAGCCAAAATACATCGTAGAAATATATAATGCAGAGCATTGATACAGAAAAACGGAAAGGGCCATTTCGAGCTTCGAAACACAGAGCAAAAGCCATTAAACAAGGAAGAAAAAAAAAACGTAACAAACGTGTGATGCACACGAAGAATTACATTTAGATTTACAAAAGAAGAACCCAAGAAAATATAGATAGAGAGAGATGCAAAAATGAAGAGAAGACTAAAACATAGAGATTACAGTGAAGGAATCTAAAAGAAAGAGATAAACAGTAAATGCAGAGGGAGAGAGGGAGAAAGTAAATGTAGAGTGAGAGAAGTCCTTTCAAGATGGATAGAAAAGAGAACATGGGGGGAGAGAGATTAAATGTAGAGAGAGAGAGAGTAATAAACCTAGAGAGAGAAAGAGAGAATGTAGAGAGAGAGAACACATTTGAAGCTCGAAAAGAAAAGAGTGCATGGAGAGAGAGTCTAGAGAGAGAGAGAGAGAGATTTCACCTGAGGATTTGGAGAGGCGGAGGGAAGCATGCAGACCTTGGAAACCTCCACGCTCCATTTTCTCTCTCTTCACTGTCTCTCTCTCTCTCTCTCTAAAAGCTTTGCTGGTCTCTGAAAGTGTTACCAGTGGACCGAGGGCGGGCCCTATTTATACACCCACCACAGGGGTGGCCACCACGCGGCATCCACCGGCTCGACCGGCGGCAGAAACGAAGAGAGTGCCCATTTGCCGGTCGCCGCGCCCCTTTCTCCACCGGTTAATGCCGGTACCGCCGGTAAAATTAGATTCTCCTCCATTTTTAGGCCCTCTTTTTCCTCGTCTTTTTGGTTTTCCTGTGTCACCCCCCTTCACAGGAAGGGCAATTAAAATCACGCTCCTCACCTTGAAATGACAAAATTACCCTTTGCTGTGTATCATTTTACGATTGTGTCCTATGGCCATAAGTTTTATTGCCGTCTAATCAGTAGATTAGATGGACGGTGGATAGAGAGGAGGAGAATGAGTGCATGACCCATCAGTTTTTTTGTTATCCCCGTCCATCCGTTTATTGGACGGTGCGAGACACTTATCACTTGAAGGATCTAGTTTTCTTAACCCTCATTTTAATATTAATTTTCTAGCCATTTTTTAAGGCTGGCCTGAGCCTGGACTTATGGCTTAAAGCCCTGGCCCGGGGGATTCTTTGTTATTCACCTCAAGCACACAAGGACCGGAAGCTTTCTATTATTATGTCATGCGCCGGGCCACGTATTACCGACGCCCAGGCCCACATGATCCATTAAATAATAAAATTATTACTCATTTCTAATTTTTTTTTTTTTTTTTTGTTTTTCTAGCTGAGAAAAATCTTAGTTTCTTTTTTTTTCCTTACTATTAGTATTGACCTTTGAATTTAATAAAATAAGATATTTAATTTTTCATGCAAAAAAGTTCCTCGTGTGCTTCCGATTCTATCGGAATCTACTTGAGTCGCTGCTGGTATGAAAATCGTAAAACCTATTTTAGAGAGAGAACATTGTGCTTCCGATTCTACTCAAGGTGCCACTGAACTGTAAAAAGAGAGAGTGGTTTTGAAAGAGAGATGCCCAAGAGTGGTACATAACTATCCCCAACCAGGTCGTCTCTTGCCTCAAAACCATGGGCCTAAAAAACGTTCCTTTTGGATAAGTACTCATTCAAGATTGTGATATATTTAGGGCAGTTTTTAACCATAATTTAGAGGTGTAATTGGCCTTGCTTTAGGATAAACATGTATTAAAATTTTGCTATATTCAGGGCAGTTTGTTTACCTTATTTTGGATGTGTACTTTGCCTTTAGTTTTGAGTAATAAGTATTTTTTTTGGGATGCATGTTCAGTACTTTTAGTATTGCATTTATTTCTGATGATATGTTTCAATTTAATAAATGTGGGCCACTAATGTTCCCTTTTTTTTTTTTGGCTTTTTAACTGTTGAGTTTGTTTTCTTTGCAAGTTCATGTTCAAATGTTTTTGAGTTATATCTGCCACAAAACATACTGGATGCCATCTTTGTAAGTCCAAAATACTACTATAATTACTAGGGTTGGCCTTTCTACAATTAGTAGATTGATCGTTATCCACTGTTCATTTATTTGGACGATGCAGATTTAATAATAATTCAAGATGAATCAGAGCTTT